CTATCTATCTATCTATCTATCTATCTATTCAAAGAATCTTCCCCCATCTTTAGTTTTTGTTTGGAAAACATTATATAATTGTAAGAAAAACAGTTAATATCTAATATTTTAGTTTTATTATTATTATTAAGTTAGATTATAGTAGACCTTTGTTGTCTTTGTACAGAGCACAATGAAGTTACAGTTCAGAGCAGTCATTCAGAAGAAGACAGAACATGACAAACATGGGAGAACAGCTCTGGGTCAGACGCTGCATCGAAGACATCATGAGGAGGTGCAACCCTCAAAAGAAAAAAGCTAAAAACCACACAAGATGATTATTGTCATATATTTCACAATCTTATTGCAAATATGTGTTTCATTCTTTTTTTTTTACCGCTGTGATTCTTTATTATGTAGCATAAAACTACAAAAAATACAAACTTGGGCAGGTCAGCAATGTTATTTACTCTCAGTAAGAACAAAGTCAATAACAGAACATTTCATTTTGTAAGTCAATAATTGTTTTTATAAAAGTAAACATTCTGTTTTTAATAAACTTGGTTATTTTTGTATTTGTTTTTGCTATGTTTCATTTTATTTTGAAAAGGTCACAAACTGTTGTACGCTGGGTGGGTTTGGACCAATAGGAGGTCAGTGCGGCCAACTACGTCAGACGCAAGGCAGCACGCCGCGCGTGGCCACGCCCCCTCCGCCTGTAGTAGCCAGTTGACTGTGGCGCCGGAGCTCCACTGGAAGTTCCTCCCAGCTCAGAGAAAGCGAGCAGGCGGATCCAACAGCAGGTTGGACCGGACCGAACGGAACCGAACCGGGCCGGCGGGGGGAAAGTTGACAGAAAGCAGTCGCAGTCAGTCCGCGGAGCTCCTCAGAACCCAGAGACCCAAAGAAGAGAAGCAGGCAGGAGCTAGCCGAGCTCGTGCGGAAGATTAGCAGGAAAACGGAGGGAAAAGGTGGGACAGGTGAGGCTGGAAGCGGCGACAGGTGAACGGACTCGGCTCAGCGCTTCGTCCCGGGCAGCCCCGCCGAACACGGCCGTCAGAACCCGCGGGTCATGCGGACTCCTCGCGGCGCCGCGTCGCAGAGGTAAACCGGCAGCAGGAGGCGAAGCAGCGGCGGACAGACGAGGGACAACCAGGCGGCTTCTCCGCCGCTCCGCGAGCCCGTCCGAACCGGAGCCGGCCAGGCAGCATGTCCCGGAGGAAGCAGAGCAAACCCCGGCAGATCAAACGTAAGAATGACCCAAGTTCTTCACTTTGTGCTGGTTTCTGTCCGCGAGCTGCAAAACTGAGGTGACGCAGGTAGTGAGTCCAGGACCAGGTCCAGGACCAGGACCAGGACCAGGACCAGGTCCAGGATCTTAGTCCTGCTAAAAAACAGACTTTCTCCTGTAGCCGGAGCGGTTCTGAGCCTGAGGGGCAGAAAGTTGACTGGGTTCGGGTTGTTGTGGTTCGGAGCAGACGTGTCGCCGACGTGTCGCCCGGGCTTCCGGTTTAATTCCGGGTCGGTTCTGTGAAACATGATGTGAGCGCAGATTAGGATTAAAATAGGATCTTTGTTTGGATGTGTTTTAGTCTGAGCCCCTCAGACAGGAGGGGGTCTGATCTCTGCGGCTGGTGCTTCGGGAGCCGAGCTCGGTTCTGATGAGCGGGTCCCGGTTCGAGTTTTTATCAGGTGTTAAAGTGATGCTGAGAGCTGATAGAGGAGCAGATTAATAATGTTCTGTTCAAGTCAGGAGGAGGAGGAGGAGGAGGAGGAGGAGGGGCGG